TGTCTTTTTGAGACAGGGTCTCCCTGTAGCCCCAGCTGTCCTGGAACTCACTATGTAGACCAGGCTGGCCTCGAACTCACAAAGATCCTCCTGCCTCTGCCTCCCAAGTGCTGGGATTAAAGGCGTGCGCCACCACGCCAGGCACGTCTCTATGCATTTCTGCATGTGGATCCTGCAGCAGGAGGCAGTTGTCTGGACCATGTGTGCCCCCAGCTTGACTGGCAAGATTGGCATCCTGGTTGGCATGTGCCCTCTAGCGCCAAAGGTAAACCCATTAGCAGGTCTAGAGTCCATAGGCCTGCAGGAGGAGGGGAGGTTGCCAGACGCATAGAAGGAGTGTCTCTAGGCATGCGCATGCATCCACACATGCAAGAACTTCGATGCTGCACCACGACACGCAGACCCCAGCCATGGTGTCACACAGTGTTGATAGGTGCTCCAGATCCTGCTCACTCACACCCCACTAGCAGGGCCTCTTGCCAGTGTAGACCTTGTGGTGCTAAGGATTGAAGGTGCCGCCCACCATGGGGACCTTCCCTGGTCCTTTGGCGGATGACGGCGCTGGTGTCTACTGAGACGGGCAAGTAGGCCCAGTGTCCACCCTTTTGTATATTCAAGTTGCTGCTAGGCTTCACCTACAGGCATCCTCAGGCGCTCCCTCTGGTCCGTGTCTTGCCTAAAGCCCCATAGTTTTAGGCCCTTGACAAGCATGACCTACGATTCGGGGCAGGTGGAGGGCTGCTCACCCCCATGTGCCCGCGGCAGACGTCCAGCTGAGAAGCTCTTTCCATTGTTGAGTGGTGTGGCTGGATCTTGAGGCAGCTAAGGAAAACCTAGGGGCCTCACCTTGACGGGTGGTCGGCTCACCTCCCCTTCCCTTGGGGTATCGTCCTGGGTGCCCTCTGGGCCTTGCTCCCACCCACCGGAGCTCTGGGGTCCAGCACTGAACTAGGCCGAGCGTTTGTCCGGAGGCCCCTCCTGGGAAGAAGCCTTCTGAGGGGCTCAGTTTTCAAGCCTTTCTCCTGCAGGGCTCTCCTTGTCAGTCTCACTCCGGAATCCTGCAGGGAGAAAAGAAAATCCAGGTAAATGCCTTCCTCCTCACCCTGTACCAGGCCAGGAAGACCATGCCCTGGGCGTTCTAAATGGGACAACTTGGTAGAAGGTATTTTTCAAACAGCTACATTCTGTATTTTTGTATATGTGCATGTTTGTGTGTGCAGGTGCACTTAAAGCCAGAGGGCACCCTTGGTTGTCTTAATTGTTTTCCGCCTTCTTTTTTGAAACAGGGTTTCTTGCTGAACTGGAGCCCACAGACTAGGACCTGAGTTCAGTTCCCAGCACCCACATCAGGTGGCTCACAACCTCCTGTAACTCTAGCCCCAGCTTCTGGTCTCTGAAGGTACCTGCACTCATGTGCATAACCCACACACAGACAACTACAAACACATAATTTAAAATAATTAAAAATAGGGGCTGGAGAGATGAGTGAGTGGTAAAGAGCCCTGGCTGCTCTTATAGAGGACCTGGGTTCGGTTCCCAGCACCCACATAGCAGCTAACAACCACTGTAAACCCAGTTCCAGGGAATCTGATGCCCTCTTCTGGCCTTCATAGGTACTGCACACATGGGCACATTTACATACATGCAGGCAAAACACTCATAAAATATAAAGTAAAAATAATCTTTTAAAAAATAAATGAAAAAATGAAAAAAAATCTATGAAAAATGTCAGAGAACAGGCTGGGCATGGCAGCACACACCTTTAATCCCACTCTTGGGAAGCAGAGGCAGGAGGATATCTTTGAGTTTGGGGTCAGTCTGGTCTACATAGCAAGTTCTAGGACAGCCAGGGAGACATAATGAGACCCTGTCTCAAAAAAAAAAAAATTCAGAGAAGAAAAATCTAGAGGAAAATACATCTGTGACAACAGCCAGAGAGTGCAGGTTGGGCAGCTGGAATGAGGTGGTCTACCTGGCTTAGGCTGCACTGCACACCTCCTGGGTGTGTCATTCATTTCCGGAAAAACACAGATCTGGGTATTTATTACAACAATTTTATAACAGACAATAGCAAAATTGTTTTAAATAAAGGGCACTTTTTTCCAATTCACACAGAGTGGCTAAGGATTTATATACCTGGCTGGGGATGCTAGCTCAGTGGTAGAATACTTGCCTAGCTTGTGTGAGGACCTGGGTTTTGATCCTCAGTTCTGAAAAAAAATATTATAGGTACATACACACCAACTTGAAACTGACTGAAGTCTCTGGAGCTTGTATCACACTTTCTGTTCCTTTTAAAAAATATTTTGTTTATTATTTTTATTTTATGTGTATGAGTGTATCACTTGCATGTGTGTAAGTGCACCTGGTCATGTGTCATGTAATGCCCAAGGAAGTCAGAAGAGGGCATTGGATTCCCCTGGAATTGTAGTTACGGATGGTTGTTAGTTGCCATGGGGGTCCTGGGAATTGAACCTGGGTCCCCTGCAAGAACAGCCAGTGCTCCTAACTACTGAGCCATCTCTCCAGCCCCTCTGTTCCTTTTATGAGACAAGGTCTCACTATGTAATCCTGGCTAGCTTGACACTCTCTATGTAGACCAGGCTGGCCTTGAACTCACAGAGCCTGCCTTTGCTTCCTGAGTGCTGGGATTAAAGACTTTTTTTCATATTTTTTTCTTTTGTGCTAGGTTGGGACCTAAGAAACCTGTGGCAAAGAGGTCTCTTGAGGTCTGAAGCAAGAGAGATTTCTTGGTGTGCCAGGCAGAACTCTGAAGATGCCCCAAACAAAGATTCCTGTCCTTCTCAAACAAAGTTATGAATCTAGGTATTACTGTGAAAGATCTTTGCAAATGTAATTAAAGTTCCACATGAGTTGACATTAAAATACAGAGATTCATCTCCCAGCTGGCCAGCTTACATCATGCTGGAAGGTGCTATGCAGACTTCTGGGGGAGAAAAGACATCAATGGTCTCACCCAGTGCTGGATCCTGCATGCTATTACACCGGCCTGCTGACAAGATGTGCCCTCTGGTGCTGTAGTGGTGTGACAGTTAGGGAGACAACCAACCACATTCTGCTTGGATATGAGGCCTGCTCCACAGGAGGGATTTCATGCCTGGTACTATGAACCTGGTCCAAAGCCCATGAGGGGAGATTTTAGGCCCTAATGGAGAACTTACTGTTACTGTTTTGCTAAATGGTCATGTTGCTAAGCTACTTTCTAAGTATTATGTTTATACCATAGATTTATGTTTCTCTCAGTTTTGGTCAGAGAAGCTTCTTTTTGCAGTGGGTAATGGCTAATGCAGAGACATAACTGGCCAAAGTGCTGAGTGTAAGTAATTATGAGTGCTCAGCTGTGTATGAATCATTTATATCAGCTTCTTCCCATCCAAGGCTCAGGGAACATCATGGAAGAAGGGGTGGAAAAATGTAAAAGCTCTCGGATGGGGAGGAAGTTGTGAGATGCTGACTTCTGGGCATTGCATGACTGTTGCACAACTCACATAGCTGTGGTTACCTGAAAAAAACCTGCACAAGATCAAGCTGGTCAAAATTCCAGCATATCTAGGGAAGGGGCTCTCAAGACCCCACCCTTGGTGGAGGACTACTGGCAGTTGATGGCTGTTGAGGGAGGGAGAGTCACTCTCCTTTGGGGACATGGCTACTGATAGGTTTGCCCACACCCCAGTATAGATGGCTCTACCTGTATGCACATATGGGCAACACCAACTGGACTCAGGGTTGTTAATTTTAAAAAATGATACCAGGTATGCTGGTACACACCTTTAATCCCAACACTTTGGAGGGAGGTGCAGGCAGATCTCTGTGAGCTATAGGCCAGCCTACTCTACATAGCGTTCTAGGCCATCCAGGGCTGTATAATGGGAACTTGTCTAAAAAAAAAATGCCAAACAGAGACAGAGGACACAAAATTGGGAGGGAGTCAGGTAGCCACTTGAAGGTAGCCATTTTTCTGAGAAGGATGAAGCAGATGGATCCCTTGAGCTCAGGATTTTGATGCCATCTTGGGCAACATAACAAGACCCTATCTCAAAATCCAACCAATCTGGGCTGGAGAGATGACTCAAGAGTTAAGAGCAATTACTGCACAACAGGAAACCCGAGTCCAGATCCCGGCATTCACACAAGCCAGACACCCAACACATCTCCACAACAGGAAACCCGAGTCCAGATCCCGGCATTCACACAAGCCAGACACCCAACTCATCTCCACAACAGGAAACCCGAGTCCAGATCCCGGCATTCACACAAGCCAGACACCCAACACATCTCCACAACAGGAAACCCGAGTCCAGATCCCGGCATTCACACAAGCCAGACACCCAACACATCTCCACAACAGGAAACCCGAGTCCAGATCCCGGCATTCACACAAGCCAGACACCCAACATATCTCCACAACAGGAAGACCCGAGTCCAGATCCCAGCATTCACACAAGCCAGACACCCAACACATCTCCACAACAGGAAACCCGAGTCCAGATCCCGGCATTCACCCAAGCCAGACACCCAACATATCTCCACAACAGGAAGCCCAGAGTCAAGATCCCAGAATTCGCACAAGCCAGACACCCAACACATCTCCACAACAGGAAGCCTGAGCTCAGATCCCGGCATTCACACAAGCCAGACACCCAACTCATCTCCACAACAGGAAACCCGAGTCCAGATCCCGGCATTCACCCAAGCCAGACACCCAACATATCTCCACAACAGGAAGCCCAGAGTCAAGATCCCAGAATTCGCACAAGCCAGACACCCAACACATCTCCACAACAGGAAGCCTGAGCTCAGATCCCGGCATTCACACAAGCCAGACACCCAACTCATCTCCACAACAGGAAACCCGAGTCCAGATCCCGGCATTCACCCAAGCCAGACACCCAACATATCTCCACAACAGGAAGCCCAGAGTCAAGATCCCAGAATTCGCACAAGCCAGACACCCAACACATCTCCACAACAGGAAGCCTGAGCTCAGATCCCGGCATTCACACAAGCCAGACACCCAACAAATCTCCACAACAGGAAGACCCGAGTTCAGATCCCGGCATTCACACAAGCCAGACACCCAACAAATCTCCACAACAGGACACCTGAGCTCAGATCCCAGCATTCACATAACAAGCCAGATATCCAACACACCTAACCACAGTTCAGAGGTGCAAGAGACAAAGGAGGCTCACTGGGGCCTGCTGGAGCCAGCCCAGCCAAGAAAACACAAGCCCCAGCCAGATTCAGGGAGAAACTCTACCTCAAAGGAACAGGCAGTGAGTGATAGAGGAGGATGCCCATTACCCTCTTCTGGATTCTGTGCCTGTACACAGGTGATGCATGTGCACTTATGTGTGCACGTGCACACAAATAAATATTTTTTAAAAACCCAACTAGGTCAGGCATGGTAGCGCACGCCTTTAATACCAGCACTTGGGAGGCAGAAGCAGGTGGATCTTGTGAGTTCAAGGACAGCCTGGTCTACATAGTGAGTGCCAGGACAGCTGGAGCTACAAGGAGCCCCTGTCTCAAAAAAAGACACACACACACAAAAACAAAAACAAAAACAAACAAACAAAAAAAACCAACATACATACATAGTTTTCTCCAGTTGAGAAGAGGAAACCAGAAACTCCAAGCACACAAGGCATTAGAACCACTGCTGGGCTGTGAAGGAGGGAGGCATGTAATAATAATGTGTGGGATCAAGAGAACTGCCCTTAGCTAGCAGACAAAGGCAGGAATATGCCTGTGAAGCACAGAATTCAGCCAACAAACTAAATGAGGTCAGAATACCCTTCCCCGGACCTCCAACTGGAGCCCGACTCAGCCAATGCCTTGACTTTGGCCCCAGAGACCCTGAGCTGAGAATCTAGTCAGTCGAGTCTGTGCTCTGACCTGGGAAACTGCGAAACAACAAACAGCTGTTATCTTAGGCTGCAAAGTGTGTGGCAGTTGCCCCCTTCTTTCTGAATTCTTCTACCGAACAGTGACATAGAAATTTGTAATTTTGTAATGAAGAGCCCTAAGCGTGCCT